TTTCTGGCAATGGTTGAAATTATCAAAACATTTAGAGGGACAGGATATGGGATGCTAAAGTTGCAACTGGGAAGAAAAAAAGGAAAAAGGACAATTCTCAACCCTTTGAAGCTCAGCATTCTGTATTACATCTTGCTATGGTAGTGCAGGAATGGGCAATCCGTGACTCTGGGCAATTTCGTAATTTTAATTCTGTTAAGTGTTGCCCTGACATGTACCAACCAGAGGTTTTGGGACAAGCATAGCACTGCTTTGATGTTTCTCCTCCCTTCTTATGGCTGTATCCAGGAGGATGAAATGTTCAGCAGTTTGGGAGGAGCTGGCTCCTTTAAGGAGGCTACAACCATGTTGGGTACTGGCCATAAGGGTTTATTTTTGTAGGGGTCCTATGTGTAGGTCTGGTACTTGCCACCTTCAGAATGTGCCCCTGGATCATCTGTTCCTTTTGATCTTGTGAGTCAGCCAAAGCTGGAGGGGCAAGGGGAAGCGTGGAGTCATCAACGCCAGTGTTGGGGGGTATTTGCTTGTCTCAGTGTATTCTATCAGTACAAATTGCCTCAGTTTCCAACTGAAGTGCATTTTTTGTGATAGAGCTATATGTGGACAGTAGGAGAAAATAAGCAGTTTATCCAATGGTGGATTATTTAGTTTAGGGAATCTCTTTGTACTGATGCCAAGGGAAAAGGATTAGTGGTGACCTGTAATGGGTATGGTAAGGAAAAGCTCCAGAGATTGCTACAGCTGCTGTGGCTGCTCTTGGATGCTGAGCCTTTCTCAGTGGCATGGTCCCCTCCTATTTTTCTGTCACATGATGCTGATGTATTTTGTAGCAAATAGCAATTGCATCTGACTTTATGTGGCCATTAGTGCTGATCAAGGGCTGGAGGCCTGGTATTCTCTTTAGGTAGGGCTTGTCTTTTGTTGCTAGTTTTCTTCGTAAAATCAGTTGTGCTTAGGTTTTTTTTCCTTAAGCTCACCCAAGCCTCCTGACTTTTCACAAATTAAACTGAAAGCATTGGTTCGTAAATACCCTTTTTATTTCGCTCAGAGAAGGAGAATTGGCTGTGTGTATTGATTTAGCTACTATTAATTGTCAGTGCTCTACTTTTTTTTTTTAGTATCTTTTAAGGGTGAGTAATGGGATCTTACTTAGGAAATTGTCTGGGTGGCCTGATTAGTCGTGCTTAATGTCTAACTTTGACTTGTATTCAAAGTTCAAGTCGAAGTCTGTGGTTGAAAATTACAAAGATGTTTTCCAGGAGCTGAAGTCTAGCAGCTGAGGTGGTGACAAGAGATAGAACCTCTTAGATTTCATTATCTCTGAGCAGGATGTGCTTAGTGAGGAGTTTTCCCCTGTGTTTTTGTTTGTCCTGTTACAATTAACTGCCCGTTGTTCATGCAGACTCTTTTGAATGGGCAAGTTGAGTGTTATCTTTACAAAAAGGGCAGATAAGACGTGTTTGACGTGGCAGTTGATTCATAAGAAATGTAAATCGCTGTGGATAGTTACGGCTGATGCAGCCAGTTCTATGGAAGGTAGCAGAGCTGCGCCAGTTCACATCAGCAGTGAATCCCCTCTCCCTGAGCTGTGCCGCTCTCCTGTACTGTTGGGCAAGGTGGGCTCGTCTGCTCCTTCTACAGCACCTGTCTGTCTCTGCAGAAAGCCCGATGAACTTCTTCAGGGTGCCCATCAGCACTGGCCCATCTAGAAGCAGAGTTGGTTATGCTTATAGATGGGCTAGTACTAATGGGCGCCCTGAAGAAGTTTATCCGGCTTTCTGTGGGTAGATGCCTTATAAGCGTGTGTCTGTATAGGAAACAGAAGCTAAGTAGCCCTTGAAGCCATTTTCCAGAGAAGCAGATTTTCAGAGAGGACTGATGGGAAGTGTTAGCAAGTGGAGCAACTATCATCCATTGCATAGCTCTGCCTTTGTGTGAGGTGGAGAACTTGAGCTGTTTTCGTGCGAGGTACGAACAAAGACAGGCGTTGCTGCCCTTGTCGCTCGGCTGTGCAGTCTCCTACATCTGTTATTTAGTCCGTGGTCATTTTCTCAATGTTTCGGATGATATAAAGAGGCTACTGTTTTTATTCATAAAGCAGTGGTTGAGAAGTTCACAAAAACAACCACCTTATTTTTCTTCTCTTCTGACTCCCACCCCTTCTCTTTCACACACCCCTAGCAGCCCTCGGCCTTCATTTTGCACAGCCCAGAGTTGCAGTTACTGAAGGCAGTGTGAGATGACACAGCTGAAAGTTCCCAGCCATAGTCTAGTGCCGAAGTATGAGTCAGCACAGCACGAAGATTCACTTCTTTCCAGGTAGCTTTCACCCATAGTAATGTTTCTTGCTTCTAGAATGACTAGGACAACAAGGGGTAACATCTGTCCTTGTCTGCGTGGTGTCCTAATTTCCTATCTAGCATACAACGTTGCTTCATGGTGCACAAATGCAGACTTGTGGATTTTTCCTCCTTTGCCAGCAACAATCTAAGTAGCCTCATTTTTGCAACCTAGTAATGTTTCTTGGTATCTTTAATTTATAATGTCTAGCCTTAATGGCTGTTACTGGAATTTAAGCTCTCATGCTCTTTTCAGGGCACATATTTGATGCAGAAATAATGTCCTGGAGTCTAAAATGCTATTGTCTGCAGTAGTGGTGGTGTGATTTGAGATTTGTGCTGCAGATAGGAAATATCAGACAGCTATTTACAAATATCAGAAAGGGTTTTTTTTAAATTTTTTTTTCATATTTTTGTTTAAGTTGAGGGAGCTGGCTGGGGTGGTCTGGTTGGTGAAATTGTTTTGTAACTAGACTTGCCTTTGCACTAGATCCTGCTTTTTATTTGCAGAATTTGGCCCTTAGCAATGGCCCTTCAGACTACCAGCTTCTGATTTGTAGCTTCGGATGGTGGCATTTGAGCAGCACTTCTAGGAGAGTCGTCAAGTGTGCTTAAAATAAAGAATCAGTCCATGAAACCATGAGTCTTGTGCATGTGGAAAGGGACAGCAGAATGTTGTAAGGGTGCTTTTTCCTACTTGACAACCTGGCAGTGGAAACTGCCCTGCTGGTTTTTTTGTTGCCTTTGTATGAATGTGGAATTTGTACAAATTAAATATGAAGAGGCAAGAAAAGGGGAGAAAGCTGTCTTGAGTTTATCTGTGCAAAACTTGCAGGTGCCTGCTTGTACCAGACTAAAGAAACATTTTCTTGTCTAGCTGGTGTTGTCATGCAACCCTTAATTTGTAAGCAGTTGAGGGTGCAGCAAGGGTCCCAGAGAAGTGGTCTTTCAGTATCTGCAGCAGAACTGAGTGCCGTGGTTAGAGCTGGTGTGACATGGCAGGGAGAGAGCTCACCCAGCAAAGTTGAGAGGGAGGAATGTTTGCACAAACCAAAGCTGCAGGGAGTGTGAGAAGTGCTGCAGCTTTGATGTTTTCTGCAAGGCTAAATAACAGCGAACACTATGTTTTCGTGGGATGAAAGCCCTGGAGTTAAGGCAGATCAGAGGTTATTTTGCAGACCCTTCTTCTGGCCTGCTACCCGTGGTAAACTGAGTTGCTTTTCATCAGGAAGGTTACAGTGAAGCAGAGGCTGGGGTGATAATCCCTGATGAAAAGTCCTTCATGATTTTCGGAATTTGGCGGCTGCTGGACTGAGGAAAATAGGTGGAGTTTTCCCTTTAAATAGCTGCGCCCGAGAGACTGTTGCTGCTGTTGTAATGACACTTGGGTGTTGCTAAGGCTTTAGGAAGTCAGCGCTGACATATCTGTATTGGTGGTATGCTCCGCATGCACCAGAGAAAAATGGATCGAATGGTCTCACCACCACAGTTCTGGTCTCTTTAAAGGATGTGGGTGTAGGTCAGAGACTTCAGGTAGCAGAGAACTAAATTCTTGGCCAGAAAGTGTGCGCTTGGTGTGTCTGAGGTTTTTTTGTGTCCTTACTGCTGTTCCCGAGCTGGAAGGATTATGAGAGGGTGGGAGCGCTGCAGTGTCACCTGCCTCTCTGTATGTGTGCATGCACATGTCCCCAGGTCCTCGGGCTGACCTTGAAACTCCCCAGTTAAAGAAAGTCCTGTAACTGAGACCCTTGTGGGCTTCCGGGAGTGTTGGGGTGAGTGGGTAGATCTAGAAGAGAAACATGCAACTGGTGGACTTTCATCAGTTCTCTTACTATGTTAATACAAAACTCACTGTTTGCAGTAATCACCTCCATCGAAGAGCCCCACAGTGCTGCAGCCCTGCATGGCTTTGCACTTCAAAAGTCTTGAGTCTTTTTTCAGTGCTTTGTCCAAGCTTGCTTAGCAAATTTAGGCAAATCACCTTTTCTGCATGAAGTTTCATCATTAGTTAAATGAAGGTAACTCTTATCCTGCTTCGGGGGAGCAGGGAGAGGGCTGTGTTGCGAGGCCCACTTTGTATTTGTGAACCGCTTTTGCTGTCCTTGGAGAGCCTCCATTATGTGAGACTTGGACTTATTAACAACCCCCAGCTGTTAACAAATGCTCTCAAAGTGTGGTATACCTAGAGCTATGTAGTTTGAGAAGGTTGCAGACAGGCAGAAAATGTTGTCAGCTCTTTATAGATTGCATTTGACAATAGTCTGCTAAAGTAGTATGTTCCATCCTGTATGCAAATTGAACTTTGTCAAATTGTCTTACCACAAGATATCTATATTTGATACTATATTTCTTTCTCACAGATTCTGCCTGGCTTGTTCATTGGGAACTTTAAAGGTAAGATTAGTTTTATCATTATCTCTAGGATTACTTAGCAGGGGTCTTCACACGTTGTTTCGCAGGCCTACAGAATTTTCTGACATCTCTGCAGCTTCTTTAACCCCATCTTGCTTAATTTCTATGTTTACCTGGTAGCACTTAAAGAAGAACTTGTTTGCTCTCTCATCCGTGAGCTGTGCTGCAAGTACTTTAAGAAAATAAAGATGAATGCCATCTCCTTGGAGCATGCTTCAGCTGGAATTCTTAAACATTGGCGTGCCTTAAATGATTCCTGTGCTTGGCAAGCAAGCTTGTGAGCCACGCAGATTCTTTGTAAGGCTTATTTCAAGCCCTCCTTATAAGTAAAGGCTTAGTATGCCTCCCGCTCATTGCTTTCATTATTTTGGTTATTTATAATGACTGCTAAAGAGTTATCACTGCTTGTGAGACTGATAGGTCTGCAGATTGCTGTCTGACCACTGGTACTCGTGCTGTGTCACAGATGCAAGATTCTCTGGATTTTTTTTCCTTTTTGCATGAGGTTCACTTTTTGTGTACAAAAAGACAGAACCATATTTAGAAAACACAGGAAACTTCATGTAGACATCCAACTAAATGACCTGTTCTCAAAGCACTCTGTTAGTAGTTCCAGTGACTGTCCCTACTCAGAAGTAAACCAGTGGTGCCTGTACAGTTGCTTTGATACACGCAGACCCTGCATTTCCTATGCAGGGACTACTGCGATATCCTGTCCTTCCTGGTCTGGTCTGTCTGATATCACAGCTGGTCTGTTAAGATTGGACAGTGTCTGCATTGGATTTAGATGGTGCTGTTCCTCCTCTCTGCCTCATGCCCATCCTTCCTTCCCCACCGCCCCATCCCAAAACCTGTGAGTTCAGTGGTTTTTGACTGATTTACCTGCCTCTGGACCTGCTGACCCATGTTGGTGGCCCAGTGCATGCTGCCCCTTGGGAAGTGAAGCTAATTACCTCGAGAGGCAGCCCGGAGGTACGTGTGAGGTTAAAAGCTACCTTTTGCCACATTGGGATGCAAACACAAGTACAGTGGCTAGTGTGTGAGAGGGAGTTAATCATGCCATGGTAAGGAAAATGGGAGAGTATGGAGGTAAGTTTATACTGGTGGAAGTAGGTAATGAAAGGACAAAAACCAAAGCAAGCATGGCAAAAAAAAAAAAAAAAAGGAAAATAAGGGGAAAAGGATAGTTTTGAAAACACTTTGAACAGAATGCGTGGGACAGTGACAAAACTAAATAACTTGGTCACAGCCATGTTGCTGCTTGTTTTTGTTTCCTTTTTCTTTTTTCTTTTCTGTCAACTAATTTGGGAGAAGGGTGGGATGGGAGCGTGTTTGATAGTAGAGTCCTCTAGGTTTCAAGCTGTCTGGCAGGGTGGCCAGGTTGAGCCCAGGGAATGTGGCTCTTGGTCTGTTGTTCTCACTGTGGCAGCCCTGCTGCTTAGCCCTTGACAGTCCGCCCAGAAGAGCGAAACTCAGCCGGAGCATCTGTTTCTCGGTACAGTTCTGTTTTCAGCTGATGAGCAGTTTGACCAGCTGAGGGGAGTTGGCCAAGGTTGCGGAGTGAGTCAGCAGCTCTGCTGATGCCAGGGCTTGAGACCCTCTCGCTCGTGCTGCTCTGGCCACTCAGCTGCGCACCTTGCAGATGGTCCTTAAATGGCACGTCGGGTCACTTGTATGCAGAGAGCAGAGGCGTGAACATGAAGGTGGTGTGAGTGGGCAGTGTTTCTGGGACTCTAGCTGAAAAATAGCAGAGGCTAAAATGCTTCGGCTGCCTCCATAAAAGAGCTAAGGATGAATTTGCTTTACTATCAGTGTTTGTGTTGTGAAGTCTGGTTTTAAATTGATTAAAAACACAAAAAAAATGTTAATTTATTTATTGCTATGACCTTTGCTCACATTGCATTTAGTAGTTATGTTCTGCAATCATCAGTATCTGTTGTTATAATCTCAAATTAGCTACTGTACCTGGAGAGGAAGAGAGAAGATTGGTGTTACCGTACTTAACTAATTCAAAAGCAAACTTTTATATTTTTCTGTGCCCTTTGCCCCCCAACACCTCGTCCCTCACTGCTTAAGAGCAATTGCAAAGAGGTTTCTGTGCAGTGAAGTCATCCATTTAAGAACAGGCTGTTGGATAATCACCAGTGTATTTTTCTGGAGAAGTTTGATTACCTTGCTCCTGGGCTATGTTCTGATTTGTGTCACTTTTTCAAAAAGTGACTAATGAATTTTGAGACTGCCATAAAGGGAACCGCTGAATGAGAAGTACTCAGCAGCATATACAGTTGTTATTGGTTAGAGTATCCTGATTTGGGCAGCTGAAATGTTTAGATACTTTTAAAGACACAGGTTTACAAATATTTCCTGTAATGCACTTTTGAGCAGTCTACTATTTCTTCAGCTTCAGACCGATAGCTTGAATTGAATAAAGTTGCATGTAGTCAGTAGGAGGGGTCACACTGGATTCCTGGAGTGGTGCATCTCACCTGGATGCAGGGCTGAGGCGGTGGCACCCTCTGGGTCTCTGTGCGGGGGATAGAGAGTCAGGGGAATCGCTCTGATCTGCCCTCTGGGGACAGCCTCCCCTCCTTTCTCCAGTGACTCTCCAAGAGTCTGGGCAGGCAGGGTTTCCATAGCTAGGTCGAAATCCTGTTCTGTGCACACTCCCGTGTCCCTGCTGCGGGGGAAACCTCTGTGGACATTGACAAACTGGGAAGAGGCGAAGTTGTTCTAGCTGGGTGCCTTCCTTCTGAGTGAATGCAGGATGTTAAAGATGTTAAGCACTATAATCCTGGAGGGCCGTTGTCTGGAGAAGGCATTCAGCAATAGTTGTGATTGGGGAATTATTATTCAATATTCAACACTATTTCTACTTTATGTGTAGGGTTTCTTACTTTCTTTTTAGGCCTAATCAACTTTAGAACAGCCTGTGACAGAGGGAGTGCAATTCCTTCCATTTGACTGGGAGATAAACTGAGGCCTGAGGAAAAACTTGTGAAATAAATCTGTGGCTGAAGTGGGAGATGAGCTTGCTGCTTCTATTTTGTCTGCTGCTGCTGTGCAAACCTTTAGGCACATAGATAGCATGAGAGGGGCTTTTGGAACAACCTTAGGGTCTTTGGGTTAGAAAGTTATGTGTAGGCCAGATTATGGAAAGCACTGAAGTACACGCTGAAATCCCACTAAGTCCACAAGACTTGAAAACTGGAAATCTCTGGAAAACTTCCCTGAAAATGCATAGATCTTGGTATGTGCTTAAGTGCTTGTTATAAGATCTATAAGCATGATTCTGCTCATCAATAGCACATTAAAATTGTGGTATGTTCCTGAGAGAGTGTTTTTGACATTGCACAGCTAGAGGGCAGAAAAATTCAAGAAGAACCACAGATGTCCATACAAAATACCAAGACTGAGTTTGGTCTGAAGGCCCAGAAGGAAACAAGAGGTCTTGGGCTGCTTTTGTGAAAGTTAAGGAGGAGTTATTTCTTTGCAGATGGGAGGGTAGGGGGGCTAAGAGAGAAAAATGAGGGGAAGGGAAAGA